AAAATCCATGTTCAACGCCAAACTAACCGGCCTGTAATGATGATTAGCGTGCATTGACTCATAAGAATGAAAAGATAGAATTCACTTGGATTTTGTAAAGTTTTCATTATGATATAATTTATTCAATCATTTTCCACGAAGAAGTCTCCAAAGTTTGTAGTATCGTAAAATAAAAAATCGGTTATTTTGACCGTGGTAGGTTTAGTGTTAATAGATTTTATTTACGATTTCATTTGTCGCTCTCGCTCGCTACGTATTTCCCACTTTGGCTGCGTTGATTATTGCTTCTTTGTCGTCAATAATTCCAGCGAAAGAAAGAAAATCCATGTTTAATAGATATCGTTCGAAATCTCGATGAGCCTGGCACGATGTTACAATGCGAGTGGTCGAGTCATTAATTTACGACTTTTGCGATTACAAATCGAACGGAAGAAGATTCCATTGAATGAGGCATCGCGTCTTTCACCGTAGGAATTGTTAATTGGGAGAACAATGCAAAGCCATTGAAAGCCATCGCCGACCAACGAACGGTCGACTCGTGTTCTACGGTTAACAGGTTAATGGTATAGCAAAGTTAGCGTTGCACAACAAGCCGTCCGCGAATAGTGCGTTAACAGATGCGCGACGTCGGGAATGTGGAGTAGGCCGGTAACGATAAGAGGTCGCGATAAGGATCCGTAGACAAGGTTACGAATCGGATTTGCTTTCGCGATTACGCTCGAACGTGCCGCGATCGAGAACACGGCTAAGTTCAGAACAGACCTAAGACACATTTATTGCAAATCTGGCCACCGCGAAGATGGCGCAGATATGTTTCCTCGCCAGATCTGGCATACACAAGAAATTTAGTACCTACCCCCCGACGGAACACCTACGAGGGGTCCGAACGTGGGTAAATCGCCGCCTTCGCTCATCGTTCATTAGGCTGGGTACGGAAGACCCAGTCTTAACTCCGCGTCCGTGTAAGGAGTTTTGTGGTTTGCTTTGCCCCCAAAGTGCCACACGACAGCAATTGTACAGCGTGTCAGGCTAGGGGGCAAGACCTAAGACACACCGTGGTCCGAATATACCAGCCCGCGGAATATAGAACGAAAATGAGTCATTGCACCGGGAACGGAAACGAATGACAAAGCCTCGGCCGTTTGCCATCGTTTCCTAGCAGGCGCGGGACATAGTACGCGACGCTCATTCACTATCAACTTCTCCCGACTATCGAGACTCTGTCCTCGAAAAGTCTCTAAGTCGGCTTGGTTTCTTCGAAGTTTGCTCGGCTCGTGTAACAGGATGTAACGGCGAAAGTTTCGACGGTAACCGCACTTCTGATCCTTTGGGAAAACCTGAGTTCGGTCATTTTTAACAGATGATTTCAGAGCGTCTTTGTGCCCAGCGTGACTCTGTCGTTCTAATCTTGGAAGTCGCGCGTTATTATTAATAGCACCGTTAATTTTTATATGCGTTTAGAAGCTTATCGGGACAACAGCGTTTCGTTATCGCTATTTATTGTCGTTATTTCACTTCGGTATTTCGGAAACAATGAACGCGTTAAGCAATAGCAATTCGAAGGATAAATATTGCGATCAGCTGTTCCGTTATTGTTCTATCAGCTCTCCTCATAATTAATTCATGAGAAAGAAATGTCGGTTGAATAGATCAGGATCCACGACAGCCGTTCTTCGTTTCTTTAACGGAATCACATATCTTCTTCGAGATTCGGTGATCGCTGACAGCGACAAAAAATTAACCATAATTACATCTTGACTGCGGTTTTATAGTGACCAACAGAAGTGCACCTTTCGTGCACCTTTTAAAACGCAACAACTATTTTAAAACTGAACTAAATGACTCGAATTTTTTTAGATGATAGAGAAGCGAGTCAACTGTTTTTTTTTTAAATTTAATTTCAATATATAATTTTTAATTCTTTTTTTTAAATATATGTAAAATGAAAATTGTCTCCACGAATTGCAAGAAATAGAACGTTCTTCCTTTACTTAATAATTCTAATAGATCAACAATAACTCATTGACACTACAAAATTCTTCGAATATTTTCACTCTTCCAAACAGCGACCGCTTAATTAAATATCAACGCTTAAAAATCCGCGGTCCAATCACGTGTTTCCATTCGTTGAACACTACAATAGTGAAAGAAAGCTAGTTCTCGAGTCACCAAAAGCCCCCACACAATAAACCAGATTCTATCTCGAACCATCTCTCCAGGCGTCTCTCTCTCTGCTGTAATCGTGTCACGACTTCCTCGGCCCATAGATAAACCAATGTAAACATCAGCAATAAAATACCAGCGCGACTCTTCCACAAAGTCGATGAATCACGTAATTTTTAATCGCCGCCGTGGTCGCCGGCACTCTTGTCGTTGCAGATCCACCTGTGGAGTAGTGGCTCGAGACGGAAACGGACGAGTGGTTCGCGCGAACAAGCCTCCAGCAAGAAAAAAAGATAAAGAGAGAGAGAGAGAGGACAGAACGAGCACGTTTGTGAATTATCATATCGAGCGGCCAGATGGAAAACAGCGATGGCAATTCATCCGTGTGGAAACGGAAGCTAGCGCGAGCCGTTAATTAGAGTCCAGTGGCGTGGTAACGTCTGTGTCACGGTTCGCAGCGAAGACCGTGGGCCGCAAGGTCGTGATTACTCATCAAAATATTTTGACCCGCTCCATTGATCGAGGATCGCGACTCGATATCGGCAGCTCCTCGAAGGTCGCGAGCCAAAGTCGCGTTCGTCTCAGTCGTCGCAGGATCGAGGCGGCGAACGGTTCGTTGCGCAATCATCGGTCCGCGTGCAAAGAACTTGTGCCTCGAGGATGACCTTGGCGCTGTTGGCCTCGTTGCTGCTGCCTGTGCGTGTCTCGTCCAGAGAGAAGTGCTCGCTGATAAGGCCGAGCTTGGATTAATTAGTGTCTGGCCGCGATCGCGCGCTCCGGAGCCGAGATCGGTGCTCGGAGTCGAGTGGAACGCCGAGTCCTGGAGCCGAGCAGCCGTCGAAGGGGATGCGGCAGACGACCGGGAACAGATGACTCCTGCGAGGAGCGTTGCTGACGGGATCTGAGGCCGACCAGCCAGAGCAGACAGCCGAGCCAGATTTCGTCGTTCCACGAGCGGTTACTCGTCCCAGCAACGAGAGATGACGGTCACTTACACCGCCGAAGTCGCTACCTGCAAAGGTCTCGGTTGCTTTCTAAAATTACTCCTAAGGTAAGCGGTTTCGGGTTTGGCTCGCAAGGAAGGTCGCGACGGAACACCTGCGCGACCTCTCGCTGCGATCGCCGGCTTCTCTTTAGATCCTTCCGGATCGCCGAACTCTTTCTCTTCGATTTTTCTCTGCTAATCCGGGGAGAACTTTCGACTGTAGAACGGCACGGTTCAATCGTCATTGGACTGCGGAACTTTATGCAACGTTGAAATTATGTAAGTTAATTGCGAGAGATGTAAATTAGATGAAAGTATCTCTTCTTGATTGACAGTCGTAGTTAGTTGAGGATAGTAATTATCGTTTTCTTGAAATTTCTTTGAGTTTTCTCGAAAGAATAGTGTTACAATATCTTTTAATTATGCCAATAACTTTCTAGTTTGGTACTTGACCTATTCGTTTTTGTCACAAATGCATAAAATTCTCAGTCTAATTTATCATGGTGAACTGAAATTTTTAGGTATTAAGGGGAGAGGGACTCTGCGCATAAAATTTTGATCCTGAATTTTTATTAGTTTTCGGGATATTAATATTAAGCTCTCGATACAATTTAAGTTCTACCTACGCCGTCTTCTTTATTCATTTATTTTGTAACATTTCTGAAACTAATAAAATTCGGTATTCAGATGGGTGATAAATAGGTGAGTTCCTGGTTCCATTCTCTGCTCGCATGCAGTTTTATCGAAGAGACAGGGTTCCATCAATTTCTCTGCGACGCCAGCAGACACAGTTTAATGGCTTTACGGGTCGCTTCTCCATGCCCTTGTGTATCGCTCTGCCAAATTTCATCGGACTGCGAATATCCAGACTTGTTCGGTAGAAGTTTCAAATCAAAGGACGCTCTGCTGACGTCGGCGACCGCCAACCGCGGAAATTTGCACTGGCGTCAGCGGTCATTATAGTTGAATGATATCGGTTACGCTAATGCGAAAGTAAAGCGTGCAGACTGGTTTCGCAAAATAGATACCGAAAACGAGATACGGCGGTTCAGAAAAGTGTTCGTGCACCTTTCGAAACGCGATAACTTTTTCAAAATTGGATTAATTGACTTAAAATGTTTTTAGATGATACAAGGACAATCAATGGCGAAAATACTTTTTCTTAATTTTGCTACTATTTGGAGTGACAACAAAAGATAAACTCACGTTTCTGTAACTTTGTAACATTTAAAAAGACTTGAAGCCATTTAGTTCAGTTCTTAGACAATGTTATACTGTTTTAAAAGATGTACGAACACCTAATAAGGTACAAAAGAGGCAAAAACAAAAGAAAAAAAGAACAATTACGACTTAAACTAGTAGTAAATTCGATCCATTCTTTTTTAGCGAATACGCGATATTCTTGAAGCACAATCGAGTTTCCAGTGATTCGTCCCGAAGCGTCGATAAAGACGTGCAATTTGCTTATGTCACCAGCCCGCAGTCCATTACCGAGTAAATAATAGACTCCCCGGAGCGTTTTCTGAAGGGAATACCGATCTCTCCTGGAAATGCAGCATCGGTGTCCTTCAAACGCCACTTAAACTCACAATCAGCTATGATTAAAACGATACAATGACTATGAACGTTGCAAATTGGTAAATCTGAAATTGAAAATTATCCACGTTTAATTCCACGTGACTTGTTGAAAAAGAACATAGAACGATCTACCTGAGTTCATTTCAGCGGACTCAAAGTCTCCACTTTCACTCTCCGATGCTATCTTTTTTGCATACGTCTTTGCATCTAGAAACGACCGAGAAAGCGAACGGTGATTTGTTTTCTTTTATTGGAGCTGCCATGAAACAGCATCCGAGAATCGCGCATCAAATTTTATGAGATCGGTGTTAAATAATTGGAAATCCGTGGAAAAGGATAGCAAACGAAAGTGAAAGTGATGATTTCGCTTTGCGATGATTTCATCTAATTAGATCGTTCTCTGATTATTCTCTACAGTTATTGTAGCGTTATCACCAAGATTTTCACCAGGAAATTTAGCGTTCCTTCAGTTCGAAGGAAGAACACTCATTCCTCCAATGCGTCGCTCTCTTTTAAATCGTCTTTATTAGACTTACCTAGAATAAATTAATTATAATTAATCTTTACTCGTTAATCTTCACTCTCATTTTTATATAAAATTTCTTACTGGCGTGAAAGAACATTGTCCGCGAAATAAATGTATAAATTTCGACCGGCAATGTGACACTCGCTGCAATCCTCTCGCATGATTCCGCGTTCGCCGAGGAATTCCGCCGACATGCTCGCGTCAGCCGCGAGGAATGATAGCCGGGTAAACCGTCGGGACTCTGTCTCGCGGATTATTAGATCGTATCACGAAATTCCCGGTACTTGTCGTATTAATTGGCCGCGCAATAATTCATCCATAGCTTACGCGATCCCGGCGAACGGCACATGTTTACCAGCTGGAGCCGCGTCGGCGACATTATCGTCGTCGAACGAAGCGGACTCCGTTCCGTCTCGCTGCATGGACAAACTTCCGAGCTCCGTTTCGCCCAACGCAAGAAAACTGTTCGCCTCGGCGATCGAGTTATATCAGCCGTCTGTTTTGAAATCGGTGCCCGGCGCTGTTGAACTTCCGGGTCGGCGACCCCATCTACTATTTGCGATAAGCAAATAACATAAATAAATAAATATTGCAATCAGCTGTTCGTTATTGTTCTATCAGGTCTCCTCAATTTATAAGGAAGAGTCCTCCTTAATTTATAAGAGAGAAATGTCGGTTGAATAGATCAGGATCCATGACAGCCGTTCTTCGTTTCTTTAACGGAATCACATATCTTCTTCGAGATTCGGTGATCGCTGACAGCGACAAAAAATTAACCATAATTACATCTTGACTGCGATTTTACAGTGGCCAACAGAAGTGTTCGTGCACCTTTTCAAACGCAATAACTATTTTAAAACTGAACTAAATGACTCGAATTTTTTTTAGATGATAGAGAAGCGAGTCAACTTCGTTGACCGAGTTATATCAGCCGCGTCTGTTTTGAAATTGGTGCCCGGCGCTGTTGAACTTCCGGGTCGGCGACCCCATCTATTATTTGCTTCGACCGCTCGTCGACCGGCTCGAAATTGCACGGGCGTTCCTTCTCGGAAGACGCTCCGAGTCGTTTCTTTTTCGCGATCGCGACGGAAGTCCGAGTTCGAGCGCTCGATCTGCTCGGAACTTGACCGTTCTCGGTCGTCCCCATCCTGATCGATCGTTGTTCACTCCGACGATCCTCCGTATTATTCACTTACGTTCATTGGAGAATGCAACCGATGGCTATCTATCGCGATCCAACTCGCGTTCGCTTAATGGACCCTTGTCGGCAATTTCACGCTCATAAATACCCCTGATTATGCGTCACGCTTGAAAGTGCGGGGTAATTCGGCGGTTCGTGTGCGCCTATACGAGATCTTTCGCATAAGTCCCGGGAAAGTTTGCGATCGCCGTTCGAATCGAGAGAGAGAGAGAGAGAGAGAGAGAGAGAGAGAGAGAGAGAGAGAGAGAGAGAGAGAGAGAGAGAATTCGCGTCGGTGTAAAGACTTGGTAAAAAGAAACGCGCGTTCGCAGTCCGTCGCACGTTATAAATAAATAAAAATAAACTGTTTCTTTTAATAATTTCGATAAGTTGAAAGTAGCGTGATAAAATGATTAAATTCTCCTTAGGTCTTCGTAATTCTCCATTTCAGCCACTGATTATTGCCATAAATGCAAATATAATTCGCAGTCCGGTTATTACAATTCAATGACCTGATCTTATTAAGAACGTCGCTTATGTTAATTGAGCTAGTAGTCGTATCAACAATATTTATACTGTCAGAAATTTGATCGTTAATGTCGCTCGCTCCGCAAGCGTTCAGTACGCTTCGCCTTGGCCGATCGCGAAACTCGATCTCAACGTTTATCCAGAAACCAGTTCAAAGATCATTTTCGTGCATTTAAGTCGCGAGCCGCGTCGCGCGATATTTCCAGCACTTAGCAGCCTCGCGTTCGCGTTACAGCTTCTCCGACCTGTTAAAAGCGAGCTCACTCGCGCGCACCGATGCCGCGGCGTCAGACTCGCGGATTAGCGCTACTAAATGTTTAATGATGGCCATAAATACGGCAACGAGGCCGTTGCAATTGGCCTAGAGCCGCGGATCGATTCGCGCTACTTCCACGCTTCGTGGACCCGGTGTCCATAAAACGCGAACCATTGAATCGGGATTCCGTCGAGTTCGCGTACGCGGGGGACTCGGGAGATTCGATTTGGTCTGGCGGACGTCGACCGTCGCGTATTCAAGGACCGTTCGAACACGAAATATCCGACCCGAAATACTCGTTCGCGCGCACGAGGATAATTCCGTTGAGACGGAAGTCTCGTGACTCGCTCTGGAATGATTCCAATGCGGTTCGCGGTTACGCAGTCTCGCGTAATGTCCTTTGGACGCGTCGTTCAGCTGTCTGTCATTTTTCTTGGACCGTGGCGGTCGCGAGACCTCGGCCAAGAAGGAAATAATTAGAGATGCTTAGGCGACTCAGACCGAATCGCTTTCCGTCGAATATCGCGCGCGTGAGATCATGTCGTTCAGCGATACGGATTCTTGCGGATTATCTTACGGTGGTACAGACTCCCTTGTTGACCCATCCTCTTGCTGGATGGTTCGATAACAGGGTGTATTGGAGATATTAACGGATGTTTAACGAACGAGTTCATTCATTTATTTTTTATTTATTTATTTTTTATATTTAATTTATTTATTTATTTATTTATTTAATTAATTTATATATTTATTCATTTATTTATTTATGTATTTATTTACTTATTTATTCATTTATTTATTTATTTATTATTATCGGGTGTAAGCCCTTTGGTACATAAAGTTACTTACACGTCACAGGTGTGCTATTGTAATCGTATCGATTTTTTTTAATCTAACCGTAAGTTTAAGCTTTATGTCACCTTAAACTTTATATTATTAACGGGTGTAAGCCCTTTGGTACATAAAGTTACTTTATACCATAAATCATGGCAGGTGATATAAAGTCATAGGTGTCATAAGTGTGATATAAAGTTTAAGGTGATATAAAGCTTGAACTTACGGTTAGAGTCAGATAAATCGATACGATTACAACATTTACTTACATTTATAAAAATCCCATCGATACGGTTTTTTTCTCCGTAGCGTCGCGACTTGGCCACGCCCTTCGCCGTATGCCCGCATCCTCTGCTCGTAGCGCGACCAATCGCGAGCCAAAGAACAATTGATCCTGCTTCCAAACGGCTTGTTTTGCCACCCGTACTTGTGGAGAACTGTGTCCTCCGCGTCGCACCGAGCAAACTTTATACTCTTCTTGTTCCTTAGACCGTATGAAACGCAGGTTGTAGAGTAGTTTGCAGGTATGAAATATTTATTCGGTTCACTCTTGCTGCGCGAATCGATGGGACACGAAGAAAATCTATCGAATTAGAACGACCGCCGTGCACTCGAGTTTGTTCGCGAAAGATGGGACCGAAGGGTTTCCTCGGCCGTTTCTATAAATACCGGATGCAATAACGATATTTGGCACCGAAGCCGCGCGAGATTAAGAAAGTGTTTGTTAATAGTTTGTCTGGTGGTTTATGCAACGTTGTAGGTTTTCGCAGCCGAACGATTTACGATCGCGACGACTTATCGTGACACGAGTGGATCTCCGTGATTGATTGCCTAAGCGTTAAATAACAGTGTCGTGTTTGTCGTCGAGGCAGAGAAACGGCACGTATCTGTGAGTGACACTCGGCGGTCCGTTTTTATCTGTGATCGATATAATACCATACAGAGAGATGAAGAGAGAAAGAGCGGAAGAGAGAGAGAGAGAGAGAGAGAGAGAGAGAGAGCTGATTAAAACGATCGGAGGAATACACCGCGATTGTTACGTACTTTTTTCCGTTCTGTTCCAATTTTAGATGGCGCGCGAGCATATACAAGCTCGTCTGGCTAGACCTGGCCCTGTTCCTCTTTATCTACTACTCGCTGTCGACCATCTATCGGTTGTTGCTCGACGACGGCCAGAAGAAGATCTTCGAGGCGGTGGTGGCCTACTGCAACGAGTACAGCGACCTGATACCGCTGTCGTTCGTCCTTGGCTTCTACGTTAGCATCGTCATGACTAGATGGTGGAATCAATACATGGTGATACCGTGGCCAGATTCGATCGCGGTCTTCGTGTCGGCGACTATTCACGGGAACGACGAGAGAGGTCGATTGATGCGGCGAACTATCGTCAGGTACGGCCTGATAACGCTATCGACGCCGACACAATGGCCGAACAGGCTCGCGGAGACGCCCGCCTCGCTCCCATATGCCGCAATCATACGGCTGCATTTCGCGCGGAAGCAAATCTATCCCCATTATTCGCGTCACATTGTTCTACGGTATCGAAGGACCGCGGAACTTCGATCGAAAGCTCGTCGATCTTCGAGCTGCCGCAACTTTTCGGGACAAAACGGTACAATACTCGCTTCGCTTTAAAGAGCAGAGTCGCTGCTTTCGCGACTATGAATTGTTGCCCTCCGGAGACTGACTGACATTCGTGAATGGAGTCGAGATCAGGAAGGTGTTAAAATGTCAACGAAAACTTCGCAGGTCCTAAAATACATGGAGAGAAGTTTTCGTTGAATTTTCAGTTCACTTCTCATCTTCACTTTGATCTTCTAGCTTCTCAGAAATTACTGCAACACCTGGCAAAACAGTATTCGAACACCTTTTAAAACGCGATAACTTTTCTCAGACTGGTCTAAATGACTTGAATTTTTTCTAATGTTAAAGGGACTTTCATCGTTCATAATTGTTTGTAATATCGTCGACCGATTTCGATGAAATTTTCACTATGCGTACAAATTACCAAGATCTATAAAACGCGTTTTATAAATTTTCGTTCCAGTCTCAGATGAAAAATTGAAAAAAACGAGAGTTTCTAATCCCTTTTTGTCACTCGAATTTATAGCAAAATTAAAACGAAGTATTGTAGTCATTGCGCGGATCGAATGATTAAACTGGATCGTTTAACATTTAAGAGAAATTCCGGTAGAAAAAAACCAGTTTTAAAAAAGTTACTGCTTTTTAATGTGTGTCCGAATACTTTTTGCCAGGGGTAGTATAGCTCGTACCGGCACTAGAGCATGAATTTCCCCGAAGATCCGCAATCTATCGAGCGGTTGTTCGCAAGCATCCTTGAGGAGTCGGGGATAGGTCGGCGACTGGCTGACGTCTAGCTTAAAGCTCGAAGAAATCTAAACAAGCGTCTTCGAGCTAATGGATCGAATAAAGGAGTCTCACTGGGAGCTTCTCACATCTCGCGTGCTTTCCAATTAGACGCGTCTCAATCTTGCGTTTCAGATACGTGTGCGTGTGTTTGACACTGGTGCTGGCGATGGTCTCGCCGCGCGTGAAAAAGCGATTCCCGACGCTGGAGCACTTCGTGGACACGGGTCTGTTGCTGGAGAACGAGCTGGTGATCTTCCAGAGCCTGAACGATAAATTCCCGAAGCCGAGCAAGCACTGGCTGCCGATCGTATGGGCGTCGAGCATCGTGACTCGCGCGAGGAAAGAGGGCCGGATCCGCGACGATTTCGCCGTCAAGACGCTGATAGACGAGCTGAACAAGTTTCGCGGTCTCTGCGGCAGCCTGATGCACTACGACACCATCAGCGTACCGTTGGTTTACACGCAGGTAGGCGTTAGCCGCAGACCCCGACGCGATTTATTTTCCCTCCGGTTCCCTTATCCGACGATTTTACCCGAGACAGAGAAATGCAGGCGTTTCTCTGACGCAGGTGGTGACCTTGGCGGTGTACACGTACTTTCTCACGAGCGTGATGGGCCGGCAATGGGTGCAGAACTCTAAAACTTCGACCATCGATCTCTATTTCCCGGTGTTCACCACTCTGCAGTTCTTTTTCTACATGGGCTGGCTCAAGGTCGCCGAGACCCTGATCAACCCGTTCGGCGAGGACGACGACGACTTCGAAGTCAACTGGATCATCGACAGGAATCTGCAAGTGAGTCGTTTTACAGCGGTGTCGAATTGGCATCCGTTCGTTACGCATTTCCCTGCGGTGGCAATTTAGCTGCAACAGGCTTCATCCCTAGGTGTACAATTTCATCCACGGGTGATCACAGTTAGAATTTAACTGGAATACATTTTTATGTGTCAACGAATCCCTACGGTTCGCCCATTTATTTAGTGGCTGCTTTTGGAACTGTACTTTTGGTACGGTTCTTTTGGGAGGGCACTTTTGAAAGGGTTCATTTTAGAGAGTATTTTTGGAACGGTGTTGTTAGAACGGTGCTTTCCGAAGGGTATTTTTGAAAAAATACTTTTGGAAGGGTACTCTTCGAAAGGTACTCTTAAAATGGTACTTTTGGAAAGATACTCTTAGAAGGGTACTTCTGGAAAGGTACTCTTAAAATGGTACTTTTGGAAATATGCACTTAAATAGTACTTCTGGAAAGGTACTCTTAAAATGGTACTTTTGGAAATATGCACTTAAATAGTACTTCTGGAAAGGTACTCTTAAAATGGTACTTTTGGAAATATGCACTTAAATAGTACTTCTGGAAAGGTACTCTCAAAAAGGTACTTTTGGAAATATATTCTCTAAAATAGTTCTTTTGGAAAGGTACTCTTAGAAGGGTGCTTTTGGAAAAATACTCTTAAAATGGTACTTCTGGGAAGGTACTCTTAAAATGGTACTTTTGGAAATATGCACTTAAATAGTACTTCTGGAAAGGTACTCTCAAAAAGGTACTTTTGGAAATATATTCTCTAAAATAGTAATTTTGAAAATGTACTCTTATAAGAATTTGGAAAGACACTGTTAAAATGGTACTTTTGGAAAGGTGCTCTTAGGAGGGTACTTTTGGAAATACACTCTTAAAATGGTACCTTTGGGAAGATACTCTTAGTAGAGTACTCTTGGAAGAGTACTTTTAGAGCAGCACTTCTGAAACAATTCCTCCGGAACTGCACTTTTCGAATAGTACTTTGAACCGCGTTTCTTCATGATTGCCGCTTTTCTCGGACGAAAGGTGAGCTACCTGATCGTCGACGAGATGCACCACGATCATCCAGAGCTGATCCGCGATCAGTATTGGGACGATATCTTCCCAACCGAGCTTCCGTACACGGCCGCGGCCCAGGCATTCCGCGAGGAGCATCCGCAGCCTTCGACGGCCGGGATCCAGTTATCAGCGGCGCAACAAGAACTCCAACCGTCTTCTGTCAGGATCGACGAAATGGCAGCGGACTATCAGCAAAAGTTTCGGCCGGAAATGAGCGACGACGCCGCGTCCGGCATACACTTCACGGCGAAGGGAAAAATGTCAAGGTTGGTAGCGGGGCGGCGCCACGCAGCTCCGATTTGCCCGCGCGACGCACACTGTTTCTTTCAAGTTCTGTAATTTTTATCGTTTCGCTAGCTGTATCATTTTTCATTTCCATTTCTCATTTTGTGTTGTACGTAATTAACCGTTCTGTTGATCGAACTCTTTCGTTGCCAGCTTTAGCGTATCGTCGAATGCATTCTTCGAATTCGAAAGAAGTTCCGCTATGAGTAATATGTATATGTATTTATTGACGTAGACGCAAATCGTTCGCAATGTATTTCCCGCGATTTCCTTCGACATAATACGCTGGTCTTCATCATTTCTTACGTAATGTAATTACTTTCCTTCTGCTAGATCTCCGTGAGCAGCTTTATCGTAAAGCGCGATCCTCTAGCTTCAATTTCAGCTCGAAGAATATAAAATATTTTCACGGAAAGGCAGAGCCGCTGAGAATGATTATTTCCAGTAATATTCGATTCCTGAACGAGCGTATATTTGTTAAACATGAATTTCGACCAAACATTTCTTTGCCGTGCCTTCATCGAGGGCCATAACACGTGGTAGCAATACGCTCAAACCGTTCCATAAAATTACCAACAGTTGATGATAATAAACGTCAGTTAAACAATCAGTTTAAGACCAACAATATTAAATTTGAGCTGTTGTTTCACAAGCAATTTAATTTCTCGAAAAACATCCTCCCGCGTTATAGACTCGCAGCGAGAGGGTTCGTTAGAAAGAGCATGCATCGATGTAAAAGTGAAACGCATCCGCGGTTGGGATAAGAAACCGATCGACCATTGTTGAAATAATCGTCAGCTAATCGAAATCTCAAAATAATCAACATCTCGCGACACGTTAGCTCTTACCCCAATCGGTCATAGATACCGCATTCAGGAATAAAAACGATAGAACTTGTTAGAGCGAGCACTGTGATCGTAGCTTTATGTCCGCTTACTAAAATTTGTTTCTCGGCTGCATCCGCTTCGGTCTCTTATCCAGGAGCTGTACCGAGAGCGGCAAGATAGCGAGGTAATTCATGTTCGCTTCTGCATGCTCGTATCAAGCCGGACTAGACGTCCAGGCTGGTTTTCGGGACATTTTTCATGGAACAGCGAGTGTGCGTTCGTTTGTAGGAGCGCGAGTCGTGTGAGCAACCGAGACCGCACCTTGAGCGGCGGTTCGACGCCTAGCAACCTGGGTGGCTCTCTCACGAGGGTGAACAGCGTGACCAGCGTGCTGAAGAGGCTCTTCAGCAAGGAGGACAGACCCGATGGTGGGATGACCAGTGGCACCAAAACTCCGGGAAGAATGGCTGCGTCCAGTTCCGCCGCCTCTTTGCAGAACCGTGCAATCGGTGGGTCCTTTGACACTTTGCAGTTTATAGTTTCCCAAAGAGTTCAAGCTATGGTTTTTAACAAAAGAATTTAAGGAGATATTCTAGTCTAGAACGCGTTTCTATACAGGGTGTTCCACGATTATTTTAACAGCCGAAAATGAGGGGTAGCTGAGGTCATTTGAAGTAACTCTTTCCTTTGCGAAAATGCGATCTGCGGCTTTATTTACGAGTTATTAACGGAAAACACTGACCAATGAGAGGTGACTGCGCGAAGTTCGAGAGCCCGCGGCACGAGGCTTTGACAGATGGTCGGAACGAACTCGAGCCGCGTTCGAAGTATTGAACAAATCACGAAGCGAGAACTTTCCGGATTTTTTTACTACGTAACAGTGATATTTTTAAGAAAAACGCTGTTCACCTTTACTTTAGAACGTCTGGAGAATATTTACTAATTTTTCGGACCCGAAATAGTAAGTAATTTAACCGCGACGGCCGTTTTAATTTTCTAGTGTGCATGACACCTCGTGTGTAACATATGAAATTCTTAAGATATGTCTAACGTTATTGATAATATTCTTCATATTTCTCTAACAAACATATCCCTTACGTCCTTTAACACGATTATTATTTATTAAATTAGCTTTGCGAATTATTCGTTGAACTGTGCTCGGACACGGAATTATTGACCTTGACATAACCTTGACATGACCTTGATATGTCAAGGTTACTGTCAAGGTCATGTCAAGGTCATATTAAGATCATGTCAAGGTCATGTCAAGGTTATGTCAAGGTCAGCATATGAAAATTTTAAGACATGTCAACGTTGTTGATAATATTCTTCATATTTCTCTAACAAACATATCCCTTACGTCCTTTAACACGATTATTATTTATTAAATTAGCTTTGCGAATCATTCGTTGAACTGTGTTCGGACACGGAATTATTTAAATTAAAATATCATTTACGTACTTTGTTAATCTTCACTGTACACCTTGCTTAAGAATTTCATATGTTGCACACAAGGTGTCATGCACACTAGAAAATTAAAACGACCGTCACGGTTAAATTACTTACTATTTCGGGTCCGAAAAATTGGTAAATATTCTTCAGACGTTCTAAAGTAAAGGTGGACAGCGTTTTTCTTAAAAATATCCCTGTTACGTAGTAAAAAAAAATCCGGAAAGTTCTCGCTTCGTGATTTGTTCAATACTTCGAACGCGGCTGGAGTCCGTCCAGACCATCTATCAAAGCCTCGTGCTGCGGGCTCTCGAACTTCGCGCCGTCACCTCTCATTGGTCAGTGTTTTCCGTTAGTAACTGGTAAACAAAGCCGCAGATTGCATTTTCGCAAAGGAAAAAGTTACTTCAAATGACCTCAGCTACCCCTCATTTTCGGCTGTTAGAATAATCGTGGAACACCCTGTATATACAGGGTATCCCAAAAGTGACTCGTAATACGAAAATGGGGGGTTCCTGAGGTCATTCGAAGCAACTTTCTCCTTAGCGAAAATGCAACCCGCGGCTTTGTTTACGAGTTATTAACGAAAAACGGTGACCAATGAGGGGCGAGCTTGGCTTTTGTGGGGCAGCCTAGCCAACGAGCGCACAAAGCCCAGTTCGTTGCCCCGGTCGTCTCGCGCCAGCTGATCTCGCCTCTTATTGGTCACTGTTTTTCGTTAATAATTCCTAAACAAAGCCGCGGATTGCATTTGCGCTAAGGAATAAGTTACTTCAAATGACCTAAGGGGTCTCCCATTTCCGGATTGCGAGACATTTTTGGGACACCCTGTATATATTTTTATAAAGGAACTATGCAACTTCTTGCATCGACGTTTTTCACATATATTTGTTACTCTTTCGAGGATGTTTACTCATTTTTACAACGAGTAACAATCAACATTGCTGGGAGTGCAGTATAAAAGAGATGCCCTTATGGTTGCCATGATTTCGGCCGTTCTACTTGTCTGTAACAAAGAGATCAAGAAAGATCCATAATCAGGATGCGTTCATAACGAATTGATTATTTAAAAAATGGCGAATCTCTATATCGTATTCTATAGCTAACGGTTCAAACAGCTACTCTATAACTTCATCAGTTTCTCGAATGCAACAATATCCTCTGGTAGAAATATTTTCGAAGGTATACACTTTCGATGAAGTTGCTTCGCTTCGGATAGTTCCTCGAAAAGCAAGTTGTTTTTAAACTTCAGTTTCTAGTGGAAGAACACAGAATATTAAAAATAAAACTGTGAGAAGATAAATATTGGGAAACTATGAACTATGATAGCCGGACTGCGGATGTTTATGGCAAAATAAAAATTGTCTGCATCGATTTCAAGATACAGAAGCTACATAGAGATTTCTTGTTTCACTTAAATATTTTATCGAGTTAAAAGAGTAAAGCAATAGTTTTTTTTTATTAATTCTTGACTTCATATTTCCACTGTTTCGTATGTCAAGGTTATGCGATCTACTAATTTTTGTCGTAAATGCATAAAATCCGCAGTCTAACGATATCGCATCGTTCGTGATCTAAAGTCTGTTTAAAAATGCTCCGGAACAGTTGGAGGTGGCTCGATGAGGATAGGCGTGATCAAGGAGGAGGCGGACGAGCAGATGACCTTGACTTCGATGAAGTCGGACAAGAGGCCCCACGTGCAGAGTATATTCGCAGCTGGACCACCGCCACCCAGTGCTCCGATGTCCGTGCCCGGTTCCGAGCACTCCAGAAACGGGGAGATATTCTCTTGCAGTGCTCCTGTGACCGGCTTAGCAGGAAGTAACGGGGATGGGAATGGTGGCGTCATTGATGGGAGGTACGCGGCAAGATCAAGGTTAACAGCCAGGCGAACATGTGGTTATCTGCTCGTCGCATTTCCATATTAAATCGTTTCCTCGAACGACTTTCTTCGGAGAAAACCGCGCTTGGAGTCGCCGAGGCAGAGAACCTCGAGTCGCTCATTAAATACGGATCTCTTTTATCATCGAATCATATCGATCTATCGGGCAGATAACAGTCTCATGCAGGATTTCATTCTGAACATCGTGTCTCCGTGGTTCTTGTAGTTGCGTTAGGGACTGCTAAATCAAACAGACCGTTCACATTTGAGCTTCTAAGAATGTTACATTGAAGGTACAACTTGCCAATGCGACGATTGCCAACTATCAACAATCGGTTAACTATTTTTAAAATTAGTTGCTACGTTAGTTAACTATCGTCATGTAGATACCACGCTGCTCGACTTTCATCACGACAAAGTCGTGAACTAGTAATAGTCATGCGGACTATTCAAATGAGTGAATGAACGAGGAATCCAAGTGATCATCTAACGAGAACAAAGTCGAGGAAAAGTTGGGTAGCGTGGCCGGTTACTGTGGAATGAGCAATTGCTGTGCCTTTGTTTTCGTATAATTAACTTTAACATAATTAACTTTATATTTACCGAATGAGATATATTAAATTTTGTTATACAAAAATGAAGAAAATGAAGAAAATGAAAGGATACAAAATTTGATACGTCTCATTCGATAAATATAAAGTTAATTATGGCAGAAAACAAACTAAAAACACAGCAATACAGTAAATTGTCCGTAATTGACGCTTAGCTTGGAGACAAAAATGGACAATTTGGGAAGAGGAGGAACGATTAATCGAGCCCTGCGGCTCATGTTTATAATTGTTAACACTTGGTAACTGTAAAAAACGAGCCTCGACGACAAGGCTCGAATAATCATATCTTCTCCCTCCAAATTCTCCATTTTCGTTTCCAAGCTAAGCGTCAATTACGGAGAATTTACAGTAACCGGCTCCACTGGATTCGATAGGGACCGGTTCCAAGCGTTTTAGCTTTACAGCACGCCACGAGATTTTCGAAAAAAGCCAAGTACAAATCGTGGAACAGCAAAACCGAGCGGACGTTAGTAATTGAGGACCCCAAGCGATCAGTCAACAATAGCAAAGTCGCGGAAAACTAGATAGGGACCAGTTTCGAGCGTTCTATCTTCGAAGTATCTCGTCCAAACCTTCATGTTACAGAGCACAATAGTTTCGAGATGTTTGTTTTTCGCCAGATAGTTTTCGAGAAGCCAAGTGAAATTCGTGGAATTGCAGGGCAGAGCGGACGTCGCAGTCGGCGCGATCCAGCGTGGCCTTCGACACAGGAGTGAGCTTCGCTGGCAGCGGGGTCGCGGACGATATGATCAGCACCCGAAGTTCTTCTTGCACCAGCGTCAACTCGGACGACGAGTTCACGAAGCTGAAGACGGAAAGAAAGAAGCAGAGGCGGGACAGGGTGGTCCGGAGGCTGGCCAGGAGCACCAGCGGCCATACTAATCTGCTCGGGGACCAATCTCGAAGCGTGTTGGACACGGAGCAGCTGTTGCTGTCGGAATTGGTGAACACTTCGCGATTGTCGATGTCGGCGAGCGACAGAGACGAGAAGGTCGACACCGACCGGCTTTAACAGTCCTACCGGTGGCTCTTCTTCGAGGTTTGACTCTCGCCCGGAACACAGCTGCGGGGCCTGAAACGGTGATATTTATTTAGCAGACTATCGACCGGTCGCACGGTCGAGCGAAAGTAAAACAGAACCTTGACGTCGGAACAAACGATTGTTAGTGTACATACGAACTTTTTACTAGAATGCTCGGCGAACACACGAACCAGAGATAAATCGACGACGGTCGACAATGGTCGAAGCTTCGCCGAAGAAGCTTCGACGCGTTTCGTCGACCGAAAAATGACGCTGCATTCGTCGGTGGGAATTGTGGATCAAGAAACGGGGCGATGCGAATCGCGCGAGCCCGCCCTTGGTATCAGATTTTTACACGCATAGACAGTCTTTTTTACACTTTGGTAAAGTCGGGGATCGTTGTTCCCCGTGCAACGGTTTCCCGAGTAAGTGTTCCGGAAATTATTGCACGCGCTGTTCGAAGACCGCGCTCGCGTATCGCGCGGCGATCGTCGTCGCAGCGGCATACTCTTGTAAATATGTACCGGTATACCTATCACACGAAACTCTACGTATCTCTAGAATGACAATAATTGCGCGAACATTGTCACCGAACGTCGACCTGCGTGAATCCAGTTTTATACATCGACGCGTACGATCGGCAAGCGTAGCTATTTCCGGGCTGCGGATTTCCTGTATCCATCGCGACGACGGATAGTCGAGGCTTTTGAAAATAAAGGGATTGCCAAGATTTAAGAACTTCGACGTATTATTATCAAAAATGTTCTATTCTACTCTGGTTTCCTGCGACGGGGATCCGCAGTTCGTTAGAATCGAAATTCGGGAGCCGCCTTCCCGATTAGAGGCCTACGTTCCTCGTCGTTCGCATTCGATCGGTGCAGAGAATGCGAATGACGTAGCTGTAGGGAGTAGCGTAATTTCTTCGTAATAGCAGTAGACTTTTTCCTCACTCGCCCCCGTCGTCCCCGTCCCCGAGATATCTCGTGCGAGCGAGAACCGCGCGAAGCTTACATCGAATTTGCAACCGCTGAAAAGTATATGAACAGTGCCTGCCTCGTGCCTATCTGTTGTCCAGCTGAGAAATCGGCATTTCGATGTTACTTTGATCGTGGGACAGCCTCGCTTAACGGTATAATTGCGCTCTCCATTCGTTCTACAGCAACGCGTTTCCGTGCACGCACATTCCAAGAATCGTGAAATGATTTATGGTCGGTGACGAAATCGAGAAAACGATCGCATCCGTTGCGAGAGTCCAAGGAACGTGTCTCGCGACGCTCGGTATCGGGATCGATCGACGAAGGTCGCGAGGATTCCGAAACGATCGGCAGACCGTCCCGAGCACTGTGCCACCTAACATAATCGACACTCGTTACCTTTGTGCGAGGACGGTTCGCCATTCGTTTCGGGATTACATTCCAGCGAGAGCGAATGGATCCTACGTTGCTCATGGTTCAGCGATTCGTTCAACAGTATTATAGTAGCGAAACGCTTGTTCGGAATGTCGCAGAAAAATGTTGATTTCGTCTAAATAAAGGAGAGTGTCAGTTACAGAAATTCTGGTGCAGTTGAAGATGTTCAGTGTCGCGCACGAAAGCGTCTGCAAAAGCCGTGAAAGTGGTTTTTTAAAAGACAAATTATCGTTTGTTTTTGCTGTCAGGTTAACCTATTTATCTTTATTTTATTTTATATCGTTACCTTTTTAGCTTCGCGGCTTTTCTAGTACTTTCTTGAGCATTGTTTATTACACCCTACATTCTTGTCCTATAATAATAATAATAATAATAATAATAATAATAATAATAATAATAACAATAATAATAACAAGTAGAGAAGGATATTGTCTTTACTGAATATAACAAGATAATGGAAATATGAAAATAAAGCTGAACGATGTTATATATATTACGTAATATATTGCTTCAAGACACAGCCATCTCACGAATCCCCAATATTTTCCACTTATTCCAGCACGACCCGTAGTAATTACAGTTCAGAGTAATTGGTTCTCCTAATCTACTGGGAAAAATCGCGTTTCGTACCGAGGAAGCGATCAATTATAGTTCTAAATACAAAAACTCGTTATGCAAAATTTTCGACCTATTGTTCTCATATTTGATCTTCTGAAAAACGCCTATTACGCTTCATTATTCTCATTCGAATACGAGCTAACGACTTCGATTCCCACGATCAATCAACCGTGAACTGATTTTAATTAATTAATGGTTACGTCGTTCGCGATTATCTTTCTCGAATTTACGTTGTTATTTCTATCAGTTGAAAGCATGCTAGAGGAACACACGAAACCTCAACCGTATCTCCGATACGGTTCTCTCGTAATCTATATTCGAAAATTACCTGTCGCGGCAGCCCGAATACGTATTTTAAACGTTCCCGCGGCGAGAAGCGAGTTCGCGGAGTCGATCGGGACGATTCGGACCTGCGCGTTGCGCGGCAATAGTGGGAGTCGTTTCGTGCGGTCTCGGTGTTCTCCGGCGGGGTTCGAGCGTGTTCGTGCGGGCTCGGCGGGCTCGGCTGGCAGGGCAGGCGTCGACGTCGTTCGGGGTGGGGGTAGTCGCCGTCGTCAGTGGGTAGCCGTCGGCGAGAGGTGGCGGTGGTTTTGTACGGTGAAGAAAAGAGGGGTTAAGTGAGCCGTGCCGGGCCGTAGAAGCGAGCTAGCGGTGGCGCGGCCCGTGCTCGTGCCATAGGGCCTCTGCCAGACAGTAGTGCGTTCGTTTACAAGATGGCAGACGGTCCGTCCGCGGAAGACGCGGCCACCGACCTCGGGGACGGTGATTCTCGTTTAACCAGGGACCGACACAAACGTCAGGACGGCCAGTCGGCGACGATGTTCTCGGGCATGGGTCAGGACACCGCGAGACGCATCCACGAAGACGTTCCGTTGCTCGAGAGCCATCATCATCATCATCGTCAGCATCATCCGCACCAGCATCGTCCTCCCCGTCGCAATTGTCACGCGTACGCTCCCCGTCGTCATCCGACCAACAACAACAATAACAGCTCGAGTACAAACAACAACAATCGTTGCGAGAACGGGGAGCACGTCGAGGCGGTGCTGGACGTGAGCGAGCGCGTTAGTAAAATCGAGAGTGTTCAAAGTGGTGCGGATACGACGACGCGCGTTCTGCTGTTCGCGTCACCGATGCGCGAGGATTACGAGGAAGACGAGGAGGAAGAGGAGGAGGAAGAAGACGACGATGAAGAGGAAGAGGAGGAAGAGGACGAAGATAGATCGTTGGACGGGGACAGTGTTTCGAAGAAGTGTCGCGCGAGTGTTCGTGTCGACGCGGCGAAGAAGAAGCCGACGAGCGCGAAGAGCAAGACCAAGACGAAGAAAACCGAGGGGAGCTGTAATAGCAATCACAATAACGGTGGCAGTGGTGCTGGTGCTGAGGGTGGCGCGTCGCGCGGTGACAATGCCGCCTCCTCTTCGGCCGACGGTCGGCGCCCGAGGTCCATGTTCCTCGACGACGACGACGAGGACGACGAGGAGGATACGTCCAGGAAGTTGACTCGCCTGAGCAAAGACAACAAGCACGGCAAACCGCAGCAGCAGCAACAACAACAACAACAACAGCAAAAAGTCTTGCGGGCCGAACACGGAGACCTGGACGCCGCTCGTAACACGGACAGGATCGCTAGTGATGCTAGTGGTGATGGTGGTGGTAGTAGTGGTAGTAGTGATGGTGCTGCTGCCGCTGCCGCTGTTTCTGCTTCTGCTTCTGGTGCAGCGGCTGGTGTTACAGCGAACGGCATGGCCGCGGTCGCCAGGCATCATCAGGGCAGCCCTTTCAAGGGACAGGTTAGGACCGCCGAGGACACCCTGGTCGGACCCTACGGCAAGAAACGGTGCGCCGATCGATACGACAGCTCCGAGAGTTCCGACAGGTGAGCGAGACCGAAATATATATATGTATATATATATCCGTGCATGCTCTCGCTTCCGTCTAAATCCCAAACCACACCGTCGGCTCGGTTCGAGCTCTGTGCATGCTCCGCGGTGGTTCGCGGAACGCCTCGAGAAGGCGAACAGGAGCCGGAGCAGGGCCAGAAGGTGGAACACAGGACACCTCTAGCCGCTGGCTCCGACTAGGCTCCCGCTGCGCGAACTATTCGAACGGGGAATCCTAAATGCAGATTGAACAGAGGCCGAGGTATTTGAATTTTTCGAGCGCTAGGATTCGAAATGGAGTTTGGGTTGCGCGAGTAGCTCGAGCGCGGAAGGGTTTAAATATTTAAATTTTCGGAGCACCAGCCTTGACCCGCGACGAGGCGCCGAGGATATTGTTCTCGACGGAACGGTTTCGAAACCTTGTCCATTACAGCGTAGACTTGTCCACTATTTGTTGAATAGAATATAAACTCTTGCGTTATAGTTGGGGCCTAGAGGCTTTATCGTTGAGAGGAATCATAGTTATCCCTAACCGTGAGGTACGAGAGCAGTTCAATTATAATTAGTTCCTTCGAATTTCGAAAATTCGTCGGGTCTTCCTCTTTCTTCTAACGCCACGTTACGTTCTACGTTTAAAAAATCAGCTACAGAGTGCATTTAGTCGTCGCGAGTTCCATTCTCGCGGTGATCGAGTTTGAAAACTCGTAAAACACACGTGCTGTCGAATAGGCGAACAGTCTGTTCATGACTCACCGTTTTCACTTCTTGCGTATATACTAATGCATGCGCGTTCGGCGTACTTTCATATACAATTTTCTCAAAAACAAAGCCTCGAACGACGAACGTTTATTCCACGATTTTTTCAATTCGTTTTCTCGCGTAGAAACGCCACTATTTCGAATCGCGAATACTTAGCGAAAGATTCGGTTGCATATAAATGCGAAATGAGATGCAATTGCCTTTGTCGGTTTTTTTGGGGAGGGGGGAGGAACGAAACAAGCACAACCCCGTGGGAGCGAGTTTGATTTTTCGCCAGTGCATTTCGGCCGGGCTCGCCGGGAGGAGCCACCTGTGTCGAACGGAGGAAAGTCGCTGGTCGAAAATTGATTCGGACCCGTTCGGGATTTTGGGAAAACCGAGGGGAGGAACCGCGAGGATTTTTTTCGATCCGAGCGAGACACGACGGAGCATCGTAATTAGCGCGAAGGAAGGCGCGTTCGACGCAGGCCAGGGGTCGTTGTACCGCGGTTACGAGACCGGCAACCGTGGCTGCGTTCGATCTGTGTGCGCGGCGTGTTTATAGGTTCGTAGATGCTGCCAACTCGCTCCGTTTCCCTTCGGCCCCCTCTCTCTTTCTCTCTTTCTCCCTTTCTCTCTGTCTCTCCCTCTGTCTCGCTTTGCCTCCTCTTTCACGTGACCCTCGTGCTTCCACTCCCCCTCTCTCCCCCTCCCCATCTCTCTCTCTCTTTCTCTCTCTCTCTTCTCTCCTCGTTCCCTCCGTCTGGCCCTCGCCCTACGCGAACTTATCACGCTAGACCCAGCATTCGTTCTTCGAACCTTCTCTGTAGCATTTTATTTACAGTCTATATATTGCTCTTAACTCAGGCTTGCTATAAAATATCCTTTTATTCGCAGTGCTCTAGAGCAGCTTTTCTGTTCTTTGCAGTGGTAGCCTCGGGAAGTTTTGATTTTAGACCCGTCCTGTGAACTAAAATCCACTCGAAATTCAATACAATTTTCCTAGCGTATCGCAAAACAATTACTAACGTAGAACTTCTCTCATTTTCCGTCAGCTATTGAATTTTACAGTAGTCTTAAATTGTCTTTCATTTATTCAGTAGTCTTTCTTTTATTCTCACCGTACATATTTAGACTCGACTGTTTCTCATTTTCGTACAGCAGTCCGTCTTTTGTTTACTCTGTTTAGGTCCGACCTGTGTTACATCGGCACAGCAGCAACATTTCTTCTGTTTCATTTCTTCTATATTTAGTTTCAAACCGCTATTCATTCACACAATAATATTTCTTCTATTTACTGTATTTTTTCGTTGTACAGTAGCCTTGAATTGTACGCCGAAACATATCTGGAAACGTTCGAAGCCGTAGAGAAACCGTTGAAGAAACCCGCTGCGATATTCAGTAGTGCGAAGACCAGAATGCTCTTGCTGCTTTTTGTAATTTTCTGTATTAACACGTTCCGTGCCGAGCTTTTTTTACTCGAATCTTCACACTTTGATATTTTACTAAAACTTGATGTATTACGTGCAATTATTAATTCTCGTACACATAACAACGTAACAAAAACTTATCAACGCCCATTCTTGCGGTGGAAATTGATTCTTCGGTTCTAAATTTCTTGTAAACAATTTGTTCAGTTCACTAAGTAAACATGCAAGCGTGTACCATCGATGGTACACGTGGCACGGAACGTGTTAACCGTTTGCGTACCACGAGCCACTTTTGCGCTCTTCAGATTTTGTGTCGAGAAAAGCTAGGGCATTTGGCCGAAACAGACGACTTACGGCGCACCCGAAATTTGTCGAAACGTGCTCGGTCTTTCAGACGCATGTATACGTCGCGTGTCGCATCGCTGTCAGTAATCCAATTTGCATTTTATTGTTACGTATTCTAAATTAACACGTTGAATGCCACGCCGGTTTTACAGAAATTCTCCGTGGCGCCACGATGAATTTTCTTTTATGTGATACATATAATGTTGAAATATCATCTGCAATAGATAAGTCACATTGTATAACCATGTTTGACATGTTAATTGCGACAAGGGTCACTGTTTGAATCGACGATGGTAATAATACCAAATTTTAGATATTGACATTTGTTTTAAATTACATATATTTCTATCAATTTAGGCGCGCCGGTCACCGGTGGCCCTCATGGCGTCACCGCCAAGTTAAGTGCCGGTCACCGGTGACCCCCATGGCATTCAACGTGTTAATTATTTTATGTTTTACGGCTTTTTTCGACACATAATTGAAGGAGCGCTATTGCGCTCTTCGGCTTTTTTCGACACATAATCGAAGGAGCGCTATTGCGCTCTTCGGCTTTTCTCAACACATAATGGAAGGAGCGCTACTGCGCTCTTCGGCTTTTTTCGACACATAATCGAAGGAGCGCTATTGCGCTCTTCGGCGCTTTTCGATCCTGTTTTTTCAGAACCATCTGGTAGGTAAACGGTTAAATTGTGAATTTCTGTATTAAATACGTGTTCGTTCGGGTCCCTCCAAAAATTCGAATCTGCATAAAGTTTCCTAGTCCAGCAATATCCAGCGCCAACACCATGAATAAGCGCCGATAACAGCGACACCGGGCCGTTATCTCTTATCACAGTTTTTTTTCGAAGATAGAAAGTGCTGGATCGACCTTCTTCGTCCCGAATCTACGGTATCCGATAGAAAAAAAGATTCTTTTCACGTTTCGGAAATCGTGTGTGTTCCAGGATTAGGCAACGCGTGCCCGTTTCGCATTTTGTACAGTCTTCGAGCGGAACTCCGCGCTTGACGATATTGTTATCGGTGCCGATTTTCTCGGAAACGATACAACAGGTGCATAATCTTGCGTGGAACGCATTAAAACCCGTTCGAAACATCTCTCAAAGAGAGAGAGAGAGAGAGAGAGAGAGAGGGCGCGCGATGCAGACTAGAGCTGTTATTGAACTTGCCCCGAGCGACTTTGGATATTCTCTGTGTACACACGTCGCTGAACAGGACTCTGCTAACGCGTCTGTTTATTGCATACCGTTTCTATTTCCTCACGTTTCCACCGTTTGCGGTGCCCGCTTCCCAGGAAGCATCGACAACAAATGCCGCTGTGTGGATCACAGTCTGACATCCTTTATTCCGCCCTAACAAAATATTTTCATTCGGCGTTCGTTCTTGTTGAAATTTTAGCCTCGAACAAAAATTAATCTATAGTTTACTTAGTACTAAGCTGTCTCTTATACACATCTAGATGTGTATAAGAGACAGCGGTTAACACGTTCCGTGCCGAGCTTTTTTTACTCGAATCTTCACACTTTGATATTTTACTAAAACTTGATGTATTACGTGCAATTATTAATTCTCGTACACATAACAACGTAACAAAAACTTATCAACGCCCATTCTTGCGGTGGAAATTGATTCTTCGGTTCTAAATTTCTTGTAAACAATTTGTTCAGTTCACTAAGTAAACATGCAAGCGTGTACCATCGATGGTACCTGTCTCTTATACACATCTAGATGTGTATAAGAGACAGCGGTTAACACGTTCCGTGCCGAGCTTTTTTTACTCGAATCTTCACACTTTGATATTTTACTAAAACTTGATGTATTACGTGCAATTATTAATTCTCGTACACATAACAACGTAACAAAAACTTATCAACGCCCATTCTTGCGGTGGAAATTGATTCTTCGGTTCTAAATTTCTTGTAAACAATTTGTTCAGTTCACTAAGTAAACATGCAAGCGTGTACCATCGATGGTACCTGTCTCTTATACACATCTAGATGTGTATAAGAGACAGCGGTTAACACGTTCCGTGCCGAGCTTTTTTTACTCGAATCTTCACACTTTGATATTTTACTAAAACTTGATGTATTACGTGCAATTATTAATTCTCGTACACATAACAACGTAACAAAAACTTATCAACGCCCATTCTTGCGGTGGAAATTGATTCTTCGGTTCTAAATTTCTTGTAAACAATTTGTTCAGTTCACTAAGTAAACATGCAAGCGTGTACCATCGATGGTACCTGTCTCTTATACACATCTAGATGTGTATAAGAGACAGCGGTTAACACGTTCCGTGCCGAGCTTTTTTTACTCGAATCTTCACACTTTGATATTTTACTAAAACTTGATGTATTACGTGCAATTATTAATTCTCGTACACATAACAACGTAACAAAAACTTATCAACGCCCATTCTTGCGGTGGAAATTGATTCTTCGGTTCTAAATTTCTTGTAAACAATTTGTTCAGTTCACTAAGTAA